GTGTTTCTGAAAGCGTCGGTTCTGGGGTGTATTCAACGAATATGAAGCATCACAGCATTTGGGATCGCACCGGACAGATCGCACAGGTTTTAAACAAGATAATTCCTAAAGGATAATTCTCATGGTACGTAGAAGTTTATACTACCCGAAAGCGACACTTTCTCGAATTACTGCTTCACTAATGACTTACTGAGTTGACTAATGTATGAATTACTAATGGCTTACTGAGTTAACTAATCTATGAAACGCCGAGGGCATTATTAGTGCATTCATCATCCTCAAATCTAGTAGTCTGAGGCCACCACCTATAGGCAGCCTCATTGTCCATAACTTGCCAACAATATTACAGAGCACAGCAGAAATTCTGTAAAAATAAAACGTTTCATTGAAATTCAATACAGTGACTAGTACATCCTCCCATATCCGAACAATCGACGAGATATTGTGGCAAAATAGATGACCAATGTGCAATGAATACGTACGAGTATACAAAACATATGCGCATGAATAAAAAACTGAGCATGTAATCAAGTAATATGTAATGATGTATGAATGAGACTGGTTTGTTTGTTGCTATAGATTTGATGATCTTGCGGTATGAGTTTGCACTTTTGCATGTGATCGTTGCAACACGAAAGAAACCCGAATATGCAACATGTCTTATGGCTAAAATTTCATTTCATTGCATCTCTGCGCGTTGTTCCTTTGCACAGTTATAATTAGTTGTTTCTTATTGCTTCGTTACCGTTTTAAGTGAATTTGGAACGGGACCGTAGTCACCTATTAGTCGAAGATATTNTGTGGAACACGAAAAGCAATTACATCTGACATCAGGAATGAAGAAGAACAATCACGGCAATAGATTCGACGCTCTAACGGTAACAGTGTTAGCACCAATTGTCAAAGGATTGAAATGAGTGATTTTGCTGGAAATCTGGATCAGGCTGTCTACAAATGGTTCTGGCCACAAAGAGGAGAGGTGTTGTAAGGAAACGATGAAGATTATGATAATTTTCTTCATGACGGTTCGACTGAAGCATTCATTTTGTTGCCGATACCGGCTGGTAATGAAGTTATAAAATACGTGAACTGACATAGGCAACAGAAACACTACTAGTAAGTGCTGATGGTACAAAGCAGAGCAATTTTTTAAATGAATTCAGTGACATGATTTAAGTAAGCGAAAAACTGTTGTGGCTATGAAATTTTCAATTGAGTTAAGATAAATTCAATTACTATTTCATATTACCTGAACAAGTTTCAACAAGATTGGATGACGAAAGTGGTTTATAGGTTGCACTTGAATCGGTTCCTCGTGCTGCATCCTAGGCAACCGGCTTCGCACAACTGAGATTCATAAATATCAACAATTGTATTCGAGGATTTCCGTTATCCGGGCGAACCTTGATCCCAAACAATTAGGGTATGTGGGATACTCGTCTGATATACGAGGAATATTATCGAGTGTCATATCTAAATGACTGTAGTGTGTTCATGTTCATTACTGGAACTAATTCCTTGTGTTCTCAGTTTGTTTGAATCTGTCAAAAATTGCCTAGCAACGATGAGGAAAGCTGCCTCTATTTCACAGAGGATTCTTTCTGTGTTCACCTTAAAGCTTCCGTTGCAATCGCCTGCTTTCAATTCGTTGACATTGCGCTATTGTGACCGTTGGCAATACGTCCACTAAATTTTCTAAAACTTATCGCTTGTATATCCATTAAGGGAAATATATGAGTATCCATGTTTTTTGCTGAGAAATTGTTTAGTTCTGGAAGATCTTGATAATTTCAATCAGATATCGAGAATCCGATGATTCAGGTTGCTAGCTTGCATGGCTACGTCAACACCAGCATCCACATCTTCGTCGTCCACATCTGCCAGCGATCGACAATGGGTTGTGGATTTGGAGAATTACGGAATCGACGGATCATTCAAACTGAAACATTTATTGACGACATGCTCGGATCCAATTGAAACAATCAAAGAATTTCAGGAGAAGAACGGTCTTAAGGTTCGTTGCATTTTGTCCGATTTCTGTGGACGTGCTTATTTCATCGCTTAAAACTTGATTGATTCTGTTAATTTCAATTTACATTCGAAGCATTCATTATCGTATCATTTCCTTAACTTTTCGTATTTTTACAAGTGGCAATCAGCAATACCAAATGTGTTATTACAGTTACCCACCCTGAAATCAGCAATGAAACTGCTCGATTTACATAATATTCGTCGGACTGAATTCCATGAAATGGTTGGTCTTTAGTTTGATTTATTGTATTCCATTGTTTTCACTAGACGAATTTGTAGTCAGTGGGAAAGTCCGAATCAGTTTGGGGCGTATTTATGCGTTGAGTGTTCAGAACATCATTATTTTACCGCATGAAGATGTGAAACTTTGGATGGTATAGCAATTTTATGTATTGTAACGTTAAGGTAATCAGTGATATGAGTGAACGTCTTCTGTCCAAATTGCGGTCAGTTGGTGCGAGTGGAACGAAAGAAGCAATCGGTAAGCTGGAGCAACAACTCGAGAGGAGTTTCAAACTCTATCGAGTCCCTAAAATACGACCAATTGTACTGGAAACTCTGAAGCAGTTACCAAAAGTACCCGATCGGTATGTGTAGCTTTCTCATTGATAGCAGCGGTACTGCTGCTACGACTGTGATAAATGTGCTATATTTTGAATGTTGTTTTTTGTTTTCGGTTTTATTCCGAACCAGACAATTTGAGAAGAAAGGAAAAAGTGGCATAGTTCCGGTTATATATACCATGCATAAAAGCAGAAGCTTCACGAAGGGTGCGAACAGCATAATTGGATGAAATGTATCACTGGTGGTGAAGGATTTCGTTAGGCAGTTTCTTAATTTAAGTAGTAACATTTGGATGGATGAGTTGCGTTGAGCATACCATCCTCAGCAATGGGTGATGATAGTTTTTCAGTGGAAATTTAGTGAAATTCAGGGAAATATTCATTCAGATATCTGAAAGTGATTGTGGCCGATAAAGAATTCTATAATAGTTGTGCGGTTTCGGTTCGACAACAGATCTGGTTGAAAAACGATACGTTGTATTTGGAGGCAATCTGCCCGGTGATTGATTCATATATTGCGGCCAAAAACAAGATTTTATTGACTGTCGACCAAACTTCGCTGAACTTCTTCACTTTGGAAACAACAAAAGCCAGACGACAGTGGTCACAGGTTCAAGGTATCAATCATAATCAAATTGCATCTTAACATTTGTATTTTTTTACCATTCCCAACTCCACTGCATCAGTTTCCTTATTGCTCAATGGTGATTAGCTAACTAAAAGCACATAGCTAACTAAAAATCTCATTGTTAGACTCTGAAACACTTGGAGTAATTCTAAGATGCTTTTTTCGAACCCAAAGTCCTCAAGTTCGACATTTTTTGAGGAAGTTTAGCTGAAGGAAAATCTGATTGCGCTTTCAGAATTGATCTCAATAGTGGGCGAACGTGAGCAGCTTTATGAGCGGTTGATAGATGTGATTCGGGAACGCTTCTTGAAAACTGCAGATGTAAAATATTGCTCATTGCGTATGGAATTGGTGATGGCGGCACATGATGCAAACGTTGATACGATTATCAAAATGGGTATGAAGATTGATTTAGTTTTTTTAGTTTTTGATTTACTTCAATTGTGATGTTTCTTAAATATCAATAAAAAGAGTTTACTTTTTTGAAATTCAGTATGGAGAGTTGTTCAGAGAGTTTGTTCAGTTGTTTATTTGGTTTGTTGATTGCAATCATATTAGTTTTTGCAGGGTTTTTAATGAGTAACTAACGGTATTTTGCAGATGTATGTCACGATTTTGCATGGTGTCTTGATGCGTGTGTTCGCGATAAACACTTAGATGCGCAACAGACCAGTAAATTGAAAAATATACTGGAATCAACAAAAAAGTTCACACCAGAGGTTAGATTTTGTTTTGTTTGGGATACTGAACATCGCTTATTTAGTGTGAAGAAATTGTACTTATTCATTTCTTGTTCTTACCCGTCATGATTTTGAATCATATGATCGTATGAAAGTTTGGATTATTGAATCCTATTCGATGATGCATCGGTAATTTTCTTGGATCGCGTATAGTCTTGGAATTAATATAGATGATCGCTGATATGGCGATGGTGGCTGCGGATGCACATGTGGTACATTTTTTAAGCTCAATGTCAGTGAAGGTTTTAAAAGATACGGCGTTGAATTGCAGTGGACATTTGCCACGAGAAGTGCTTTCACTCCAGCTTTTATTAAGGTTATTTGATTTGATATTGTTACGAATGATTTGAATCGATGGGATTAGATCAATTTTGGAGTTGTTAGAACTCATTTTATATTCTGTTAAAGTATTTTTCTGTGGTGATGGTAGATGCTTTTTATGATTCTTCTGCGAGATATTACAGAGTTGTAATTTTTCATTGCGGTAGTGGTTATATTTGAATTGATTGTGATTATGGTAGCAACGTTTTGACTTTCTGCTAATTTAGGCTTCTAACACTGGGTGCATCAGCCCATCAGATTGTCAGTAGTAAAGATGCGTCTTCAGCACAGTTAGTTGATGCTCTCGTCTTCACGAAGTTTCTGTCAGCGATGACTTCATTGATTGTTGAGGATCTGGTTAGGGCAGAACTGGCTCGAGCACCTGGTATGTTGCTTTGATCATCTTTTAAAAACTTCTCAGTCAAGAGAGTGGGAGAATTTGGTCCGTGAAAAATATGAATTCAGTAAAAGTGTTGATTCATTNTGGAACTTGTGCCAAGTAAACGCAGGGCAGGCGATCCCATTGGTATCATAAGATTCATTAAATCGCTTCCGAAACTGAAAGAAAAGGTAAGAAATTCAGTGCAACTTGAAGTATCTATGAATTTTGCTCAGAATGCACAATTGAGTTATCATTCAGTTTCGTTTGAAAGTTGACTCTTTCGGATATGTTTTCGATCAAAATTTGATTTTGGTTAAAAAGAAATTCGCTTGCAGATAGCTTATCGAGAACCATGGGCACACATAATCACGCATCGCATAGTGCAATCAACTCCTTTCGAGAATCTGCTTGTGAACGAAGAGGCAGCGATGTGTATCATTGATGACTACATGTTGAGTGGACTTGAGGTAGTTCTTGAGAATATTTTGGATTTTTCATGCTTCCTCGACTATAACTGATGTGTTTCTGTGAATTGTTCCGTTAATCACTGTCTTTTGAACCTACAATATGGTGGTTTTATTGAATTCACTTCGGCTCGTATTTGATTCGTATTGTTCGTCTCTGCGCAGCGAAATTCGACTGTTGCGAGAGAAGATCGTTGTGACATTGATAAAACGGTTTCGGATTGGTGTGGAAGTGTGTTTTGTGTGATGATATCCAAACGCCCAGCATAATTTCGTGTCAAAATGAGGTGATGATTTGCAGATCGACAAAGGAATGAAGTATCATTTGTTGAGGGTTATCAACTTGCATGGGACAACAATCGGTGAACAGCGTGTTCGCTCGTTAATGGAGAGGATTGCGCCAGATGTAAGGAGTATTCTAATTGAAGTGTTCAAAGCTGATAGGAATTTGTTGGTTTAGAGAGGCAGCATGCATACATTTCAGCATAGAACCGTCATATTTAGTATCACAAATGAGACGATGTTACAACCATTATGCAGTTTTATTTTGAGTAAGATTGTTATTTTTAGCCTTTTAGTTGTAATATAGTTAGTGTGATGTGTTGTCAAAATTCACTTGCGTGTTTCTTTTGCTAGAATGATTCTGTCGTTTGACGGAAATTTTCTAGTATGACATATCTGGATTTGAGAATTTTAGAATATATTCGAACCGGGTGCCATAGAAAATGAAGAAGATGTGAGACAGTTCACAGCTGAATACGAGCGCATCCAGGCGAAACTAACCGACAAAACTGTGGTTGCAACAGCCGAAGCGATTGCGCCCACATCCCCGATCGCACCGGTTGTTACTCCGTTGCAAGCCATCGCAGGTGCAGGCGATTCAGTGGTTCAGTCGTCGATTACATGATGTGGAATCTGTTTTGTCCGAAATCAGGTTGCCGAGAACATACCTCTTTGTGGAATTTGTAGATATCACTTGAAGAAATTACGATATTCAACTGCATTGAAACGATGCATAATATGGAATTAAAGGCGTTGATTCGACTTGAAAGATGAGTGGTGAAATGATTTCGTTTTGTTTGAGATATTATCATTGAAACAAATGAAAGTTTTTAAGTTTTCGCCAAAATTTTAGTTGAATTCTTCTAATTAGTTGCTTTCGTTTCGTTGAAAATAAAACTATCAAGAGCATAATTGAATAAGGCAAGTTCTAATCGAATTGGTTATGTTATTGGAGAAAANCCCAAAATATTCCAGAAGGGCCCAATATATTCCAAAATTCCCCTGTCAAATTATGTTTTTCGTATGGATTGTGAGCTTTCAAATTATTTTGAAGTAAATGTCTTCGTTCTACATTTGATGTTGACGTCTATTTTGATTTTTTTTTCGTGTTGTTGTGTTGTTGATGTTATCAGGTCAATTTCTTCTTATCATTTCAACTTGTACGGTTTTTTTAACATTCGTATTGTTCGTTTCATGTGACGTTATTTTTGTAAATATTCTCTTCTTGAGTTTCGATGAATTTGGGTTTAGATCGTATAATTGTGTGTATATGTCAGGAGCAAATAAGGGAGATGGGAGATGTATTGTGCAGATTTTTGAGTTAGAAAATTTCTGATCTTTATGACTGCTGTCAAATTGTCTATGTCTAGTCATTGATACTCGGGATACACCCAACGAATATTACAAAGTTGGGTTTATCTCGAGATCAAGCTATTTGGTGAGGTTTGGAAACTGGGTAAATATCTATGATTTGAAAATTTCCTGAATTCATACTTGTAAAAATTGGAAGTTCGTATTTTGATATGTGCATTCTCCCATGGAAAGTATGGCTTCTACTAAACAGTGACCAATATTGTACCGTGTAAATAGTGACTTTTTTGTTATTGCTAATAATTCTGTTATCAATGTTACTTTGTGATGTTGATGAAGTATAAGAAAAATTACTGAAAAACAAATAGAGAATTTATTTCTTCAAGAAGCATTACACAGTCATTGAGAGAGTATCAATTATTATTTTCACAAGAAAAAAAAGCAAAGAAATTGTAAAAGAGAATAATGCAAAAAAANAAAAAAAGAATGATGAGATCCACTACCATACCATGGAATGTTATAACATTGCAACTGAACAACTGATAAACCAGTAATCGATATAAATCAAGAGTAAATGCATAGGGAATTAGGTCTGTAAAAGCGTATCACACTGAAGAACATCCGAAAATTAGAAAGACACAATGAATAAAAGAGAGTGTCATGAGCATGACTAAAAGGCAATAAGTGAGGCTTAATGTGGTTTGCGTTTGGGACAAAAATGTTAGGAATTCGACCAATTTTAAGGCATAGTTTTAGAGGTAAGAATCGCTAAAAAAGGAAAAACATTAGTCACGATACGACCACATAATATAATCACAAAGAACAAGAAAGTGACTGATTTTGAGTCTTCTCCCATATTTAAGGGAAATATTTTATGTGCTAGTCATTGACAATTGTTTTGGTTCAAACAAAGGAAGTGCTGAATCAGGAGGAATTAAGTATGAATTGTTGAAACGAAGTGAAACAGTTGAAAGGAAAAATGACATTGTCGGAACTGAGATAATATCACTGAGTTTCTTGGTGAAAGCAAAAAAATTTGATTGAGTGAATTGTTCACATTTGCCCACTCTTCTCCACGAACCATGGATGGAATGCAACGGAAATTGTGAATATTAATTAAGGAGTAAACAAACGCAGAATATGGTACATTGGATTTCGACAAGACAATTTAAAAAATCAAAACAAATATGGCACATTTGATCAATTCGATGAGCACAAAGAGAAAACAACATATGAGCATTTATTTCATTGATAGTTGAACGTGAGAATATTATGAAACGGCAAATAACGATAAATTGATAGTTGAAACCGAACGATGACGCATAACGACATCGGATTACCATTTCGAGCAACATAAGTAGCTGGTCGTATAGACTGGTAGTTCATAGGTCGGTTCGGTGTAGCTTTTCAGTTCTTCATCGAGCTGAAATGCTACCTACTGTACTGTAGCTTCTTGGCTCGGTATAGCTTCTTGGTAAGTTCATTACCGATGGCGTTAGTAATTTGCATGGAGAATAAATATGACAGAATTGTTACACAGTCTTATTCTCGACTTAAATCAACAAGAAACACTCGCAAAATGGTGACAAATTAGTACTCCTCAAGTGTTCTACGCCAAGAGTATTGCTAGAGGAGATGCATAGCGATTCGTTTGATAGGTACGAGAATTTCAGCTAGATCTGGTTAGATCATTTTTAGAAAATTGAGTCGAATTCAAATAAATAACTGAATAAATTAATTTTCAAAAGAAATTTATTTACATATTTGAATATTTGTTTCAAGAGAAATTATCACCTAGGCATCAGAAGATACCTTTTGCCGTTTTGGTGACAAATCAAGTGGTTGTTCCGTAGAACCTTCACGTTTCACTCCACTGGGTGTTTGGTCGTCGGCCGTATTGTTGTTTAGAGTGATCGTTGACACTGAAGCAGCAGCTGCTGCAGGCTCAGTGATGACCGTTACTGGTGCGGTGTCACCTCTGCAGTTGGATACGACGATCTGAGGTCGAATCGGCATATCAACTAAACTGCTAGCGTTCATGCGAAAATCTTGCTCGTCCGAGCTTCGTTTCGCGCTCTCATCAGCTACTTGGGCTGCTGCTTGTTGGGTGGTAATCACTTCAGTTTCTGCATCTGTACCCTCGGAATTTGTTGGTGTATTGTTGAAGAGATTCAGGAATATCGGATGCTGCAGAGCGGCCAATTGCCATGCAGCTGAATTGAAAAACAAACATCATTCATTAGTCGATTGAAACTGCCACGGCAAATTTGATCTATGAGGCGCTACGCACAATTATCTTGTTGAGTATAATCAGTGAGCCTAATTGAGAAAAAATTTGACCCAGCTTCGGCTCAGGCTCAACTTTTTGAAAACTTTCGGCCAAAATGCTGGCTACAGCTCTACATTCAAGTTACGAACGATAAAAGTCGAAGGCGGAAAGGCTGGCGGAAAAGACAGACCTTGTGCAATTTGGCCATGTTGAAGATGCGCCATTTGTGGAAGAAAAGGATTCGGAATGCTGCTGAACTCAGCGTTTTGAGTGATTGGCTCTAATCGCTCACCAGTCAACGCATTTATACGAACGCATTGAGAATCGTTCACCCGAGTGCAATCGTTTTGTAGACGAAGTGTATTATAAGTTTGAAATATGCTCTTTTTCCTGAAATCAATTCTCCCCACTTTATCCAATCAGAATGCCATTGAAACCGTTGGTTACTGACATTGCTTGAGTTGATCCGAAGAATGATTTTTTTAAATATTCAGTTGGACATGATAATCTGCGATGAATTTGTAACGGTTGGTTTTGACCAATGGTTCTCATGTTCGGGTGCTCCATTGCCCCTCTTGTTGANGCACCTTCAAATTACCCAAAGTGAGTAGTTTCACCCTTGGCTTGGACCGAGAACCATTGGCTTGGACCGTTTCAGTGGTAAATTTGAGCACATTAGGCCATAGATACTTTTCACAATGTATCAGCTGATGCATTTTGCATTCAGCATTGTTGGTATTCTTAGGTCTATTGTATCTCATTATCAGTCCTGTATAAGATGCCATAACGGTAAAGGAATATCCAGATGCTGGTGAGCTTGCTATGTGAATGAGGTGATGATTACGATCACCAGGTATTATATTATTAAAGTTCTGGTACGAGGACTGCTACAAACAAATAAGGAGACGAATAATGATTAACTGATTACTTTGGCATGCAGGCGACATGCTTTTCGAAAGAATCACTGCGATCGAATTCAAATCGTACAATACGATCGTACTGTTTTGGGAACGTTTCATCCATGAGCACTTCGGGCAGTCCTTGCTTGAAATCCTTGATCTGATCCGATGATAACGAACCCATTAGCGGCCGACCACCGGGTCTGAAAGCATATCATGAATGCCACCTTGCTTTGATAATACTCAAACCAATCGCTCATTATCGCCGATCCTACAAACCGTTCAACTGAATTCTAAGAGAATCTTGCTCCAAGCATTCGCTAAAAAACATTTGCATGCGGTACAGCTCAATGCTATGTCCCATATTGGTGTGATTATTACCGAGAGTTTGAAAGAGATAAAGTGATAAATGGAACTGATAAAATGTAAATTACGGAACGAACTCGTCAGGATTGTTGAACGCCAACGAAAGGTGTGCAGCATTCTCATCACAAAATCGTATCATAATCGCTTTGGTTCGATACTCATTCTTGACGTCGTTCGCGTGCAGCGTTTTGAAAACCTTCAGCACACTCTTGATACCACAAAATGTGATTATCCTCAAACAATTCTCGTCAATTTCAGTGGATCATTCGAATGCCACTATTCATATGGTTAAAATAGACACTTTGAAAAATCGGAAAAGCTGATTAATATCTGGACGTTATCAAAACATTCTCAAAAGTTTCAAAAGCTTCAGTTGAAATGATACGGCAGTAAAAAATGTTGTCTTGTTGCTAATTAAATTTCAAATTGGGTTGACTAATAGTCGAAAGTTTTTCCTTTTATGAAAGTTTCATAATAAATTTTAGTTCGCAGGTTCATAATTTTACCTCGAATTGAAGAGGCTCAACATTGTTTGCGAGTCATCTGCGGTTGTTGATGGTTTCTTCGCTTTATTACCTAAAACCAAATTTCGGTTGAATTGGATAGCGCTGAATGACGGCAGAATTTTTTTGCTCTGCACTGTATTTGATATCGATTTGATATCTTACACGCCTACATTTCAACGGATATTTTGAGCCAATTTTAAGGCGATGAATGATTTTAGGATATGACTGGTGATGATATGAAAACTCGATTACTGAAATGAGCGGAAACAGGACAGGTCAACAAACCCAGTTTACATTTCTTCTCGAAAATTGCTGATGAAGGACACAACTTATGCCCGACGTCCATGATCATTTCAGTGGCTCGATAGATCCACTGCCAAAGGCTGTGCTTCAATTCGGTAGTTTGGTCTGTTAGGCTTATACATTTGTCCTGAAATCTTTCGGATTTGCTGGCGATGAGGTTGATGCTTTCCAAGCAATTGTGCCCAATCGTAGGTGTATACTCATCTGTGATATCTTAATTCATTAGATAACCAGTTTCGAAAACTCCACAATAACGGTATCGCTCTACTGATAACGAGGTGTGAAAATGTTATTGATAAATCCAGGCTTGCGATGAGTTCACCTATCCATCAGAGATTTTCTTGACAGTTGAACCAATGTGCTATTGCAATTGGTGTTTTGAATCGTAAATTTAATGTTTCGTTCAAGGTGTTCTCACTGGAAATTTTCAGCGGGATGCTTACTCGTTGATACTAATTCTTGAATTTACTTCTAAGATCGAACAATTCGATCAAATATTTGTTACAGAGACGATATGAAGCGATTAGTGCAAAGGAACCTGCAGGAACTCTCTTTTGTCGACCATCAACTCGTCAACGACAAGTTCACGTCTCAAACGATTCAAAATCTTTGCAGCTCCACTAAATTCGTTATCCGGTCGAATATTTTTGAAGAACTGCATTTCGAGTAATTCTAACTCGGCTTCGTCATTGCGACATTTCAGTACCCTTCAAATGCTGTTCGATAGTATAATATCCAAACCGAAAGGAGAGATAAAGCAGAGGGAACGTTATCGGAAGTTGAACTGATGGAGTTAGCATTCATAAATGATACGATTTGCTGATGGATATGGCAAGAGTAGAGAATTGGACAGAATGCAGTCGTCGTATTACCTTGGTAGAAATAGCATGCACTGCAAATGTAGCAGTTCATCCATATCTAGTGATCGCGCTGGGGGGTACTGTGCTTTGACAAAATTTCTGAGTACTTGCTGTATGATACGCCATGGAACAGGTGGTTCTGGTTTTGATGATGATTCCGCTTGAAGATACGCCATTTCGGGCTGCAAAAAAAAGACAACTGGAAAATAAGTGTTTAGAGAACATCTGAAGATATTCTGCATCTTGATCATCTACATTGATAAAGTAGAAACTTTTCGATAATTCTTCACTTAAATAGAGCGGAAAGCTTGAAATCAAAANTTTGACTCCATCCACAATCACCGTTATCACAATCAAAAATAATGAATTCACGTACATGCTTGACAATGAGTTTGTTACCGATGTTTATGGCTGCTTCAACTTGAATCGCATATCGAGTGGCCAACTGCCTACGATCCACCATTGAATTCAATGTAACGCCCTTAAAAAATCACCGTTCTGCACTCAAATGAAACACCTTCAGATCTGTTTCGAATCCCCTTGCAATTGACTTGTATAAATAACTTATTTATGAACTATCTTGAATATTTTTCAGCTTCTCACTTTTCCGACCCTCATAATTAGTTTCAGTGATTCCTCTCAACAAGTTCGCATACTATTCATTAGGAGCTGAAGTCCGTATGAATCTGTGGGATAGGGCAAACTGGTGTGAAAATAATTGAGAGGAATTTCCAGTGAATTGGAGTGCTCGTTATGAACAAATTCGTTTTTGAAAACGATCAAGAGGATATTAGGAACATCCGAGTATTCTGTCTTCGGAATCGTAAACCCTCAACTTATCGTGAATGAATAAAGATCGTCGAGGAGGAAGTTTCTGCTGCTTTTGGTGCAAATTTTACCATTTCAGGGAATGTTGCACACAGTGCACCATTCTCATATTTAAACGGTGTCGTTTTTCCGATCTCGCCATATTGTTTCAACAGAATATACGAATGTGTTTCGGGCGCTGCTTGACTAGCGATTAGTTTTCCGTCGGCGTTCACGATCGCTCCGTTTTGATCTTGACTCTTCGTGGCTGGTGTTCCCTCACGTTGCGTCAAAATAAGTTTACCAGCTATTTGCCTAAAAGTTGTTTAAAATTCAAAACCTTCTCGATGAATCTGAAGTGGTTCCCCTTCATCTATCTTCAGCATTTCGCTAAATACGGCATTTTCGTGCGATTTGCGATCAGTGGATTGCAATATTGGCTCAGTTGATTCTGATTTCTTAAGAAACTCCTTCGTAAACATGTTTCATAGTATACTGATCGTCAGTGCTATTATCTGGCGTTGCGATTGATAAGTTCACATCGGAGTGGGAAAAGGAACAGCACCGATCTGAGACTGTCATATGTAAACGTTGAGATGATCAACTTCCAAGTATACATTTTTGTTTGAAATTCTCTAAGTAATTCCTAATAATGCTATGATGGAATAATATTTTCAGACAAAAACATTGCAATGTTACAGTTAGGTTATGGTACATCTCAAACGTTTCGTTCTCAATATGTTCACAATCCACTTTGTTTTTTGTTTGTACCAGTTTTCTTATCATTTTCATGGAAAATATTTTGAAGCTTGGAAACCTGACGATAAGATACTCACAGACTGTCGATTATATGATAAACATAGTCATAATAAGGAGAATATTTCGTCATAGAGCGAGATCGATAATATTTATGTGTTCGTTCACATTACTGTTGCTATTATCAATGAGAATGTTCACATTATCATAGACGACGTTATTTTTACCATAAGTATTATGTATTAGTCGCTAACATAGTTTTATCAGATACTTTCATGACTGTAAACGCTCTGAGCATCACTCTTCAATGTGTTCATGCGTTATCACTGTAGCCTTTATTGCTCTAAGTGTGCAAGGCATACACAGATAACACTGAATCGAAGTTGTGTATCAAAGCGTTATATGAAACTATGAGTGAGGAAACGAAATGCTCGAATATAATCCATGCAACAAAACAATTGCATTGCAAATTTGGAGCGATGGCGATGACCGTCTATTTTGTGTTTGTCTTTAGTAGATAAAAATATGTTTATGTATATACTGTGACATTGACATAAATTGTATTTGTTGCATGCATAATATTGACAGATTGATAACGTCATACAAAAATTGATATAGGTAATATTTTCTGCAATGATATTATACATAAGCCAAATGATGCCCTTTTATTTACTATACATTGCGATTTTGAATCGTCACAATGCTGACTGAGTGTGAGTAAGTGTTATTTACTTGATTTCATTTGATTTCAAATCATTATGACATCGTAATTCCATTTTATCGCCCATTTAGACACTCAACGTTTCATGCAAATAAATAAATGGTTAATACTATCGATACAGCCAGCGATCGTATCAGACCGCCGCGTTACGTGGTTGTTATTGTTGTTACTCGATTAAGATAGCAAATCTTATCACATCATCAAATGCACTAGCTGTTCGCTAGTTATTTCAATGAAATGTGAAATTTGCGATAATCTCATCACTATCAGTATTTCTTTTGCGTCATTCATTTCCTCCACAACTGAATTCCGTTTCATTTCCATGAACAATTTCTACAATTCGGTGGCTTTTCACACACACGCAGTCACGTTGAACAAGTTAATAGTTTGGTGGCAATGTTCAATTGCAAGTTATCTTGAGAAGAATTGTAACCTACAGAAACACTGATTGATAGGCAAGCAATTCGAAAGTAACACTAAGATTTGAGAAGCAATTTGATCGTCAATGAAGATGGAATATCGAATTTGTTGGGAACGGCAAAAATGAAGTTGATGAAATGATATCAACATGAAGGATTTTTGTTCGAATGCGCTCTGAACATTCTTGGAACATATCAGGCTTACCGTTCAGGTGAATCACTGGAGAGTTTAACGAGCGTAGCTCTAAAGAATGCTTCCACAACGTCCGACGGAAAATCATCGTCTTCTTCGGGTTTTGCAACTGCACACACTCTGCAAGTAAGCAACGGTTATGTGTGTCTAGAACGCAGTTTTTCGAATAGAGGACTGAGACAACTCTAAGAGTTGAAGCAAGGACGTTAAGAGTCAGGAGAGATTTGAAAAGGTTGAAGAGTTGATGTTCTGCTGGATATGCTCGATCCGGCAGGACTAGCACAAGGGTTGGGCTAAATAATGACCCGTTGTGTGGCAAAGAAGATGTATGGATCGTAGAAACTTGGGCAAAGGGATGTGAAGAGAAAGCCCTGATTAAGAGAACAAGGCGAAAGTTTTCAACAATATCGTACAAGTGACCTATGTGAACGGCTAAAATGAATTCGAAAATTCCATCCATGACTGAACGCAATCAAAGTGTGTGCAGTTTAAATAATTTATCACGAAAAAAA